TAACTTTTAGAGATATGCTTCATCTACACGAATTATCTTTTTAACCATCCGATTATAATCCGATGGACAAGATAAAATCTTATCTCTTATGTTCTAGATCTTTCTTTTCAGAGAGAACACGAAGCTTAACGATAAGCTTTAATGGCGGAACAAAAAGTCACGTTGAATTTTTGCTGGACGAAGCAAAAGGATCAAGAAAACTTTGGCTACGGTGGTGAAAACTCAGTTTTGGACTCCTCTGTTTTTGCTTATTAACCGCCGCTTTTGATTAGACAACGGTTTCCGCAGTGAAAACTTGGTCTCCGCCTAAGACCTCCAAACATGCCTATCTCACCACAGTGGGTCACTGCCGACCGGCTTCTCGGCCGCCGAATTGCCAATTCGGCCGAGATTTAGAACAAGGTTTAATGTGTATTTGCATAAGATTTTTTTTTTATGTGAAATTTAGGTGAAATTGTTTTTCAAAAAAGCCCAAATTTTTTATTTTTTTCGTTTTTGTATGTAATTAGGGCCAAATTCTTTTTTTTGTTCAGGGTCCTTCTAAACTTTGGACCGGATATGAGTAAAAGTAAAGCATAGAGTAGCAACACGTAGTCACTACCGAGAACTAACTTTAACGGTGCACTATTTTGCTTGGCTATAATCGTTATACGAATATTCTTTTTATTAGATAATCAAATCGCTTGGCTATAGTTAGTTTATGACGACTCGACGATCAAAATATCTATCCAAGTCACCTAACCGTAAAGGAGGCTTGTGATATGCATATATGAGATGAATAGTAACAATGGATATGTATGTAACTTTTATCAAGCATGTGCATTCTAGGTATCGGATCGGGTAGTAGCGGATTAAAGGCGGGTAAGGATTGTTTGAGTATTTAAAATACTACAATTTGAAGAATATGTTAAGAAAATAATGGAATAATTCGGGAATCGGAGAGGGTAACAAACTACTAAACAGATGAAGATCATAACCACGACATAGTGCCATAAGCGACGATAATAATGGTTATATAGTTGAGACTTGGCCAAACTTAACGACTCGAAGCCGGCAACAAAAGGAGGAGATCGACATGAGATAACATATGATCAGTAAGTAAAGGTAATTATAAAAAAGACCACATTTAAAAAATACCACTATTTTAAAAAATTTTCAAAAATATCCCTATTTGATAAATGTTCAAAAACTACCATAAAACTAAACTCTAATTCAAATTCAAATTCATTAAAAAAAGTAATTATGAAAATATGAGTACGTAGATGAAATATAATTCGGTTGGCAAGGATTCCCAAATATATTATTAAAATTTAATTAATCAATATTGCGTAATCTTGAGCCATGCAGATTAAAGAGTCTCTCATCAAAAACTATAATCTGGACACATTACATTAATTCCTAATAATAGAGATTGAAACATTTTATGAATGAAATTAATTTTGAAAAGATGATGGTTAATAACTTTTATTGTTTGTTATTTATTTTACATTATATAATATTCATGATATATTTTAAATTTATATTAAATATGCTAATATTATAGTTATTTCTTTAATACTGTGATTATAAAACAGTTTTTGTTATGAATGAAAATTTACCTTTAAAGAATGGAATAATTGCAAAAATACTACTTTTATTGTGTAGATTTGCAAAAATGCCACTATTAGTTGTTCATTTGCAAAAAATGTTACTAATTATGAATTTTTAGTGCCTAAATCTTAAAATTCTAGACCCTAAAAAATGTTTTGACCCTTAAAACCCCCTAAACCCTGATGTC